CCCCACGGGCCACACCGTGGCACAACCTTTCACCCTCTGCCCCCACCAGACACAGCGGATGACAGATCAGTGTACCGCCACACTGCCAGTACCATGTGATCTCCGTGACCAATCACAGCAGATCACATGACAATTGTACACACAACGGATGAAGTCCATTCAAACCCTTCATTGTGTATTGTTGGCTTGATCTCTGAAATTGGTCACGTGATCACATGATTCAGACAGGGCCAATCACAGCCCATCTGTACCATGTGATAGCTGTGTCCAAACAATCATAGTGTGTGCAAAAAAAAAAAATCCTGATCACCTCCATAACACCAGCAAAGGGTTCCTGAGCCTTTAAATGGTCTCTGAGTCTGGTTCAGTAGGAATCACAATCATGGTAAAGACTGCTGACCGGACACCATCACTGACACCCTCCATAAGGAGGGAAAGCCTCAAAAGGTAATTGCAGAAGAAGTTGGATGTTCCCAAAGTGCTGTATCAAAGCACATTAATAGAAAGTTATGTGGAAGGGAAAAGTGTGGAAGAAAAAGGTGCACAAGCATCAGGGATGACCACAGCCTGGAGAGGATTGTCAGGAAAAGGCCATTCAAAAGTGTTGGGGACTTTCACAAGGAGTGGACTGAGGTGGGAGTCAGTGCATCAAGAGCCACCACACACAGACGGATCCCGGACATGAGCTTCAAATGTCGTATTCCTCTTGTCAAGCCGCTCCTGAACAACAAACAACGTCAGAAGCGTCTTACCTGGGCTAAAGAAAAACAGACCTGGTCTGTGCTCAGTGGTCCAAAGTCCTCTTTTCTGATGAGAGCAACTTTTGCATCTCATTTGGAAACCAAGGACCCCGAGTATGGAGGAAGAATGGAGAGGCCCAAGGACCCTGAGTATGGAGGAAGAATGGAGAGGCACAAGGACCCCGAGTATGGAGGAAGAATGGAGAGGCCCAAGGACCCCGAGTATGGAGGAAGAATGGAGAGGCTCAAGGACCCCGAGTATGGAGGAAGAATGGAGAGGCCCAAGGGCCCCGAGTATGGAGGAAGAATGGAGAGGCCCGAGGACCCCGAGTATGGAGGAAGAATGGAGAGGCCCAAAGACCCCAAGTATGGAGGAAGAATGGAGAGGCACAAGGACCCCGAGTATGGAGGAAGAATGGAGAGGCACAAGGACCCCGAGTATGGAGGAAGAATGGAGAGGCCCAAGGACCCCGAGTATGGAGGAAGAATGGAGAGGCCCAAGGACCCCGAGTATGGAGGAAGAATGGAGAGGCACACACTGCAAGATGCTTGAAGTCCAGTGTGAAGTTTCCACAGTCTGTGTTGATTTGGGGAGCCATGTCATCTGCTGGTGTTGGCCCACTGTGCTTCATTAAGTCCAGGGTCAACGCAGCCGTCTACCAGGAGATTTTGGAGCACTTCCTGCTTCCTTCCGCAGACAAGCTTTATGGGGATGCTGACTTCATTTTCCAGCAGGACTTGGCTCCGCCCACACTGCCAAAAGAACCAAAACCTGGTTCAATGACCGTGGGATTACTGTGCTTGATTGGCCAGCAAACTCCCCTGACCTGAACCCCATAGAGAATCTATAGGGCATTGCCAAGAGAAAGATGAGAGATATAAGACTGAATATTCTCATTTTTTGAGTTTCACCTGTGTGTGTGTATATATATATATATATATATTTATTTATTTTATTTTTTTTTTTTTAAATATATATATATATTACTCTTCAGCAGCTCCACCGTCAAGTTCCTTCAGACCCGGTTCTTCCAGCTCTCCCGGCTCTTTGGGCTCTCTTAGCCAACTAGATGGACCCACTCCCTGGCCTCTCAATAGGGGTCTCCAAGCACCCCGGGCTCTCCTACTCCTCCGAGACTTATATATTCCCTAGGTCCCCTGAGTCTTAATGCATGGGTACCACTCAGCACTGGCCAGTGACCCCAGGTGCATAGGGGCCCCATGATAATCTTGTTTGCCAACTGTCCTGAATTTGCCGGGACAGTCATTCATTTTACTAAGCTGTCCAGGGATGGCCCAGGCAGCGTCCCAGAACCTGTACTGTGTCCTTCTGATCCCAGTATTGTGCCCCCCTGATCCCAGTATTGTGCCCCCCTGATCCCAGTATTGTGCCAACCCTGATCCCAGTATTGTTCCCTCCTGATCCCAGTATTGTTCCCTCCTGATCCCAGTATTGTACCCTCCTGATCCCAGTATTGTGCCCCCCTGATCCCAGTATTGTGCCCCCCTGATCTCCCCCTGATCCCAGTATTGTGCCCCCCTGATCTCAGTATTGTGCCCCCTGATTCCAGTATTGTGCCCCCCTGATTCCAGTATTGTGCCCCTCTGATCCCAGTATTGTGCCCTCCTGATCCCAGTATTCTGTATTCCCCCCTGATCCCAGTATTCTTCCCCCCTGATCTCAGTATTCTCCCCCCTGATCTATTCTTCCCCCCTGATCCCAGTATTCTTCCCCCCTGATCCCAGTATTGTGCCCTCCTGACTACCAATATTGTGCCCTACTGATCCCAGTATTCTGCCCCCCTGATCCCAGTATTGTGCCCTCTTGATCCCAGTATTGTGCCCTCCTGATCCCAGTATTGTGCACACCTGTCTCCTGAGCAGAGCTCCTTTATAGTGGGGGTACGCTTGTCTCTTGTAAGGAGAGCACACCTGTCTCCTGGGCAGAGCACCTCTCCTAGTGGGGGTGTGCTTGTTTCCTGGATGGAGAGCATACCTGTCTCCTGAGCAGAGCTCCTTTCTAGTGGGGGTACGCTTGTCTCCCGGATGGAGAGCACACCTGTCTCCTGGGCAGAGTTCCTTTCTAGCGGGGGTACGCTTATCTCCTGGATGGAATCCACACCTGTCTCCTGGGTAGAGCTCCTCCCCTAGTGGGGATACGCTTGTCTCCTGGATGGAGAGCACACCTGTCTCCTGGGTAGAGCAACTCTCCTAGTGGGGGGTACGCTTATCTCCTGGATAGAAAGCACACCTGTATCAACGGTACAGGCTGGTGGTGGTGGTGTCATGGTGTGGTGGATCCATCCTGCCTTGTATCAATGGTTCAGGCTGGTGGTGGTGGTGTCACAGTGTGGTGGGATTCATCCTGCCTTTTATCAAGGGTTCAGGCTGGTGGTGTCATGGTGTGGGGGAGATTTTATTGGCACACTTTGGGCCCCTTAGTGCCAATTGAGCATCGTTTAAGCACCACGGCCTACCTGTCAGGAATGGACTGGCCAGCAATGGTGGGACTCACCTGCCTTTTGATCTGCAGTACCAGGGCTGGCCAGCGGGTGCTCCCAGCAATCAGAGACTCAACCTTTCAGCCAGCTAACACCTGGAACTGATGATACTGGTGTATTTAAGGGATGGCCAGACTTGCAGACTCTGCCTTGGTGTTGTGTTTGTCCTGGGCCCTGTATCTGTCCTGCATCCTGTTTCTGGTCCTTTGCTACCTGTTCTGATCCCTGGCTTGTGACCCTGACCATCCCTCTGCCTGACCCTCTGTACTACGCTGCTTGTTACCTGTTCTGATCCCTGGCTTGTGACCCTGACCATCCCTCTGCCTGACCCTCTGTACTACGCTGCTTGCTACCTGCTGAACCTGGCCTGTGACCCCGACCATTCTCCGCTTGCTCCCCCTGTACCTACCTGCCCAATTGATATTGACTCGGCCTGCCTGACGACGCTTGCTTGTATGTACTGTTATCTGTGGGTGGTTTGGTTTGGGTTTGTTTGCACTGTATTATGTTTAGTATTGCACTGCGTTTATGTTTGTATTGTTAGTGTTAATAAATTACATTGTTTATCACATATCTGAAGTCTGCGTTTCCCTGCGTCAGTCACACACCTCTGGTCACACCTGGGAGCCCTGACATTACACCAAGGCCAATCCTGACCAGAAGTGGCTGCACAGGGAAGCCATCTTGGCTTGTTGATGGGAAGGATGGATCTGGATGAGGTTGTGTATTTATCTCTGCTAGTGTTTGATGACAGGGAGTATGCTTATCAGACTCTGAGGGAGTATCCCCGGGATGAACTGCTAGAATGTATACGGATCGCTCATGTTCTAGTAGATCAGGGCACAGTGTTCTCTGAGGTGCAGCCTTTGATTGAGGTTTGTGTTGAGTTGGTTTCATCTGGTTCCCCCGAATGCAGGGATGAATTTTTGCCACCATTTAGTGCAGACCAGGTAGAGTCCCTGGTGTGGTTATTAGAGGATGATGTGGGTTACTTTCTGGAGCGTTATTCCACATGTTCACCACAGACACTAAGAGATTGTATAAACGCAGTGCAGTCATTGACCAGACAGGCTTTGTGTAAGCTCAGCTTTGTTCAACCCATACTGCAGACATGGACAGACTTGTTGCACCCAGCCTCAGTCAGCTTACAAAGACCCAGTCCTGCTTCTAACTCTACTCCTGTATTCCCAACAGCTCCTCCAGTTACAGCCCAGTATACTTGGCTATCTACCGCATGTCAGTCCCCTGTTCCCACTCGCTGCACCTATCCTGCCTTTAACCCTGTAAAAAAGCCCTCTGTAGCAACTGCTCCCTCTCCTGTTCCATCCTCCAGCTCTTCTCTGTCTCCAGCTGCTCCATTCGTTTGCAGACCTGCGTTTACTTGCAGTGCTCCAGTAGTTAAAACCAGAAAAAAGCGAAAATTCTTTCCAACCAATACCATCCTGCCAGTATCCAAACCGGTGAACCTGCCTTCCGTGGTTCAGCCTGAAGCCTCTACTCGGCCTGAAGCCTCTACTCAGCCTGAAGCCTCTACTCAGCCTGAAGCCTCTACTCAGCCGGATGCCGGTACGCAGCCTGATGCCTCTCTTCGGCCTGAAGCCTCTACTACAGCCGGCCTGATGCCTCTACTCGGCCTGATGCCTCTACTCGGCCTGAAGCCTCTACTCGGCCTGATGCCTCTACTCGGCCTGAAGCCTCTACTCGGCCTGAAGCCTCTACTCGGCCTGAAGCCTCTACTCAGCCGGACGCCGGCATTCAGCCTGATGCCTCTACCCAGCATGATGAACTGATCCAGCCTGACGATCCTATTAGGCCAGTTGACTCGATGCCCGCTGTTGATCCAGATGATCCGGTACCTGACCCGGTGCCCACTGTCGTGCCTGTTGACGCGGTGCTCGCTGTCAAGCCAAATGACTTGATGCCTGGTGACCCGATGCCCGCTGTCCAGTCAGATGATCCAATGTCTGACCCAGTGCCCGCGGTCATACCAGTTGACTCGGAGCCCACTGCCTTGCCAGATGACGCGGTGCCCGCGGTCGAGCCAAATGACCTGATGCCTGGTGGCCCCGATGCCCGCTGTCCAGCCAGACTCCAATGTCTGACCTAGTGCAGCGGTCATGCCAGTTGACTCGGAGCCCACTGTCGTGCCTGGTGACTCGGTGCCCGCTGCTCCGCCTGGGGGCCCGAGACCTGTCGCTCCACCTGGGGGTCCGGCGCCCGCCGCTCCGCCTGAGGGCCCGAGACCTGTCGCTCCACCTGGGGGTCCGCGCGCCCGCCGCTCCGCCTGGGGGGCCCGAGGCCTGTCGCTCCGCCTGGGGCCCGAGACCCCGTCGCTCCCGCCTGGGGGTCCGGCGCCCGCCCGCTCCGCCTGAGGGCAGGAGACCTGTCGCTCCACCCGGGGGGTCCGGTGCCCGCCGTCCGCCTGGGCCCGAGGCCTGTAGTTCCGCCTGGGGGCCCGGGGCCCGCCGCCCGCCTGGGGCCCCGCCCGTCGCCCCGCCTGGGGGCCCGATGCCTGTCGCCCGCCTGGGGGCCCGATGCCTGTCGCCCCGCCCGGGGGCCCGATGCCTGTCGCCCCGCCCGGGGGCCCGGGGCCTGTCGCCCCGCCCGGGGGCCCGCTGCCTGACGCTCCGCCCGGGGGCCCGGTGCCTGCCGCTCCGCCCGGGGGCCTGGTGCCCCGCCGCCTCCGCCCGGTGGCCCGCTGCCCGATGTGCCTCTGCCCGGGTCCTGCCCGATGTGCCTCTGCCCGGAGTCCTGCCGATGTGCCTCTGCCCGGAGTCCTGCCCGATGTGCCTCTGCCCGGAGTCCTGCCCGATGTGCCTCTGCCCGGAGTCCTGCCCGATGTGCCTCTGCCCGGAGTCCAGCCCGATGTGCCTCTGCCCGGAGTCCAGCCCGATGTGCCTCTGCCCGGAGTCCAGCCCGATGTGCCTCTGCCCGGAGTCCAGCCCGATGTGCCTCTGCCCGGAGTCCAGCCCGATGTGCCTCTGCCCGGAGTCCAGCCCGATGTGCCTCTGCCCGGAGTCCAGCCCGATGTGCCTCTGCCCGGAGTCCAGCCCCGATGTGCCTCTGCCCGGAGTCCAGCCCGATGTGCCTCTGCCCGGAGTCCAGCCCGATGTGCCTCTGCCCGGAGTCTGCCCGATTGTGCCTCTGCCCGGAGCCCGATGTGCCTCTGCCCGGAGTCCAGCACGATGTGCCTCTGCCCGGTGTGGCTCTGCCCGGTGTGCCTCTGCCCGGAGTCCAGCCCGATGTGCCTCTGCCCGGTGTACCGCTGCCCGGAGTCCTGCCCGGTGTGCCAGTCTTTGATATCCCGCCAGTTACCAGACCCGGGCGGTGGAACATTTTTTCCCAGCTAGGACTGTTTGGAGCGTCCTGAGGCCGCTCCTTGAGGGGGGGGTACTGTCAGGAATGGACTGGCCAGCAATGGTGGGACTCACCTGCCTTTTGATCTGCAGTACCAGGGCTGGCCAGCGGGTGCTCCCAGCAATCAGAGACTCAACCTTTCAGCCAGCTAACACCTGGAACTGATGATACTGGTGTATTTAAGGGATGGCCAGACTTGCAGACTCTGCCTTGGTGTTGTGTTTGTCCTGGGCCCTGTATCTGTCCTGCATCCTGTTTCTGTTCCTTTGCTACCTGTTCTGATCCCTGGCTTGTGACCCTGACCATCCCTCTGCCTGACCCTCTGTACTACGCTGCTTGCTACCTGTTCTGATCCCTGGCTTGTGACCCTGACCATCCCTCTGCCTGACCCTCTGTACTACGCTGCTTGCTACCTGCTGAACCTGGCCTGTGACCCCGACCATTCTCCGCTTGCTCCCCCTGTACCTACCTGCCCAATTGATATTGACTCGGCCTGCCTGACGACGCTTGCTTGTATGTACTGTTATCTGTGGGTGGTTGGGTTTGTTTGCACTGTATTATGTTTAGTATTGCACTGCGTTTATGTTTGTATTGTTAGTGTTAATAAATTACATTGTTAATCACATATCTGAAGTCTGCGTTTCCCTGCTTCAGTCACACACCTCTGGTCACACCTGGGAGCCCTGACACTACCTGAGTATTGTTGCTGACCATGTCCACCTCTTTATGGCTCCAGTGTCCCCATCTTCTGATGGCTCCAACAGGATAATGCTCCATGTCACAAAGCTCCAATCATCTCCAACTGGTTTCTGGAACATAACAATGAGATCACTGGACTCCAATGGCCTCCACAGTCACCATATCTCCATCCAATAGAACACCTTTGGGATGTGGTGGAACAGGAGATTCCATCATAGATGTGCAGCCGACAAATCTGCAGCAAGTGTGTGATGCTATCATGTTAATATGGACCAAAATCTCTGAGGAACGTTTCCAACACCTTGGTTAACCTATGCCAGGAAAGAAAGAAGACAAAAGGGGGCCCAACCTGGGACTAGCAAGGTGAACCTAATAAAGTGGCCGGTGAGCGTATATACTTGGCCCAGACAGTATCCTTTCCTTCTATAATAAAATGTTTCAATTACTATTGTTCTGTAGACCTTTAAGGACTTGTGACAGCGTACTTCGCACAACATACAACTTTTCCCCCGGCCGGAGGAACTTCCAAAGAAATTATGGTAACCATCGGATGGAAACAATTTCTTCCAGACTGGAAACGCACTTAAATACTTTCCATAAATTCTCATGTAAAACAGAGCACAATAAAAGAATTCATCCAAAAAAACAAAAGGCACGGATTGTATAAGTAGGTAACCCAATGAGGATAAGGGGGCCATGTGTCCGTATCAGCTGGGACATATTACATGTCTGGTCTGCAGCCACCACATGTGCATAAAGACTTTGAGTCCAGCGGGAAGTAGAACCCTACAGTTCGGACATCTGGGGCTGTCCACACCGTATGGCGAATGACGAAGATTATTCCAGACTAGAAGAGCGTAGACAGCCATCTTGGCCCTGTTCCCCCATATCCAAAAACCTCAACTGCACTTTATATTTAGAAAAAAAATGTTCACACTTTGGTTGTGTTCAACGTTCCTTCAGAGTGTTCATGTGTGATCAGAATGTTAAGTATATTGCAGCTTAGTGTATCAATACGTTAGACTACTAAGTCAATGAATCCATGTCTGTGACTGGCTGGCCACGGATGTCGTGAATAACGAGTGAACGTGCTTGGAAGGTAGAGAGTGGTCTCAGCTACGGCTCCTCCTGATAGCTCCTCTAATGCGTTTTGTCCCGCCCTGGCCTCCATAACTAAGGGCAAGGTGAAATGCATCGGAGGGCATGGCTTATCGAGAGGAGCTTTAGCTGAGGCCATCTTCTACCTTCCAAGCCCTCAGAGCTGCTCGGCATGCGGCATTCACCCAATATTCACTATACGGCTTTCTTTGATTAGCTCACACGCCAGCACTCCATCTAGAAGTGATACAACAGAGCCAAAACTTCAGCACTTGGAGTGGCGCTCCACCACGTATACAAGGGTTGCGGCTGGCCACCAAGTATACAAGGGTCGCGGCTGGCCACCAAGTATACAAGGGTCGCGGCTGGCCACCAAGTATACAAGGGTCGCAGCTGGGCGCCAAGTATACAAGGGTCGCGGCTGGTCACCAAGTATACAAGGGTCGCGGCTGGTCACCAAGTATACAAGGGTCCTGGATGGCCACCAAGTATACAAAGGTCACGGCTGGTCACCAAGTATACAAAGGTCGCAGCTGGCCACCAAGTATACAAGGGTCGCGGATGGCCACCAAGTATACAAGGGTCGCAGCTGGTTACCAAGTATACAAGGGTCGCGGCTGGCCACCAAGTATACAGGGATTGCGGCTGGTGACCAAGTATACAGGGATTTCGGCTGCTGACCAAGTATACAAGGGTCGCGGCTGGCCACCAAGTATACAGGGATTTCGGCTGCTGACCAAGTATACAAGGGCCACGGCTGGTCACTAAGTATACAAGGGTCAAGGCTGGCCACCAAGTATACAAGGGTCCTGGATGGCCACCAAGTATACAAAGGTCACGGCTGGTCACCAAGTATACAAAGGTCGCGGCTGGTCACCAAAATTACAAGGGTCGTGGCTGGTCACCAAGTATACAAGGGTCGCGGCTGGTCACCAAGTATACAAGGGTCACCAAGTATACGCGGCTGGTCACCAAGTATACAAGGGTCGCGGCTGGTCACCAAGTATACAAGGGTCGCGGCTGGTCACCAAGTATACAAGGGTCGAGGCTGGCCACCAAGTATACAAGGGTCGAGGCTGACCACCAAGTATACAAGGGTCGCGGCTGGTCACCAAGTATACAAGGGTCCTGGATGGCCACCAAGTATACAAGGGTCGCGGCTGGCCACCAAGTATACAAGGGTCGCGGCTGGCCACCAAGTATACAAGGGTCGCGGCTGGCCACCAAGTATACAAGGGTCGAGGCTGGCCACCAAGTATACAAGGGTCGCGGCTGGCCACCAAGTATACAAGGGTCCTGGATGGCCACCAAGTATACAAAGGTCACGGCTGGTCACCAAGTATACAAGGGTCGCGGCTGGTCACCAAAATTACAAGGGTCGCGGCTGGTCACCAAGTATACAAGGGTCGCGGCTGGCCACCAAGTATACAAGGGTCGAGGCTGTCCACCAAGTATACAAGGGTCGAGGCTGGCCACCAAGTATACAAGGGTCGAGGCTGGCCACCAAGTATACAAGGGTCGAGGCTGGCCACCAAGTATACAAGGGTCGAGGCTGTCCACCAAGTATACAAGGGTCGAGGCTGTCCACCAAGTATACAAGGGTCGAGGCTGGCCACCAAGTATACAAGGGTCGCGGCTGGCCACCAAGTATGCAAGGGTCGCGGCTGGCCACCAAGTATACAAGGGTCGAGGCTGGCCACCAAGTATACAAGGGTCGCGGCTGGCCACCAAGTATACAAGGGTCGCGGCTGGCCACCAAGTATACAAGGGTCTCGGCTGGCCACCAAGTATACAAGGGTCGCGGCTGGCCATAGATGTAGCAACTATAATAGAACCTTCCACTAACACCTCCCCCGGCAAAAAGAGCCTTCCACTAACACCCCCCCCCCCATATCCCCACCAACAACCCCCCCTCCCCCGCTGCCCAAGAGAAACTTCCACTAACACCTCCTCCAGCAAAAAGAACCTTCCACTAACACCCCCCATACCCCACCAACAAACCCCCTCCCCGCACCGGGCAAGAGAACCTTCCACTAACACCCCCCCATACCCCACCAACAACCCCCCCCATGCCGGCCAAGAGAACCTTCCACTAACACCTCCCCCAGCAAAAAGAGACTTCCACTAACAATAGGGGGGGATGAGGCACTGTGTGTAATAGAGGGGATGAGGCGGTGGAGTAATAGAGGCGCTGTGCGTAATAGAGGGGGTGAGGCGCTGTGCGTAATAGAGGGGATGAGGCGCTGTGCGTAATAGAGGGGATGAGGCGCTGTGCGTAATAGAGGGGATGAGGCGCTGTGCGTAATAGAGGGGATGAGGCGCTGTGCGTAATAGAGGGATGAGGCGCTGTGCGTAATAGAG